AGACTGAGATAATAGTGTATTTCATGGAAATCTATAAAATTTGTGTATCCCCACCTTAATTAAAGTGACCTTAACTGATTGAGCCTATTCAAGAGGAGATTTGCCATGTTGTAAATTTACAGCTCAGTCTGTTTGCTTCCTTGTTCCTTCCAAATTTGACTTGGCTATCTGAAATGATCTTTCACCACTTGCCCTTTTTGTTCCCACAGACTCTGTGAAACTGATTGAATTATTTTTAAGGTGCCTTGAGTGTTTTAGGTAAATGTGATACATGAAGAGACATTGACACTTTCAACGTAGCACCCGAGGAGCCACTAAGCCTTGGAGGATCTGTTGACTTTAATGGAGTATCAGTGGCCATGTCCTTTGTGTTGCTTTGACAGTTCAATTACACCAACAAGCTGAGGGCACTGGCGTGGATCAAAAAAGTTATGTATTTTTGCTGGCATAAAATTAGAATTTACATGAAAGTTTTTCCAAGGAGGAATAAAGAAAAGAGACATGGACAGGTCTTTATAGTTGATTGTAGGTTACTTCACTACTAGAGAGCTGGTGAGACAAATGTGAGATTTTGGTTTCATGTCACCTAAACACTTTCTGACTTAAGAGCATTTGAGCTGGAATCACTTGTAATTAGCATGGGCTTGGCAGAAACTGGCACTGCTGCTGTTTTCATAGAAACTATCTGCATAGTCCAGTTGTGCCATGGGGAAAACTGCTATTAGCAAGTAGCACAAGTGTAGTCTTGAGTGTGTCTGTGGAGTTACTGCTTTTACAGTAGCTGATGTCCTTGATGGCACTGTAGCAACTCTGAAAGCAAGAACATAGCTGTCTGTCTCCTGTACCTTGTATGTCTCACCTAAATGTTATGGTCTTTAACATATTTATCATCGCAGCCACATATTTTTTTAGGCAGCTGTTGGTGTCTGGGAGCTTTTAATTGCCTTACTTACGAGAACCTGGCATGTACATGGTCCAGAGGGATGTAGCCATTGCTCTACTTTTCACAGTCTTCTCGGATGAGGCTGTTTCCACTGCAGCTGACTGTGGTCAGGCTGATGCAGAGTGCAACCTGTCCTAGACTCAAATGATCCATCTGGGATCTATTGCCCAATTGACACAATCTAAGGACTTACTAAATTAAGTAAATGATGAGGACCAGAGAGCACCTGTGTTGCTGCTCAGAGGTTGGGCAAGGTGTCTCCTGCCTCCTTGGTGGAGCCTGGGAGCTTGTGAGTGGGTGGCGTGGGAACTGGGGACAATTGAGAATTTGTACTGGGATGCAGAGTTGCTCCTTGGGGCAGAAAAATAAATCTATGATTCTTGGCCCTATAACGAAGAAAACAAGACACTGTGGACTTGTTGCAGCCTGTGCAGTCTGTGAATGTTTTCTCCTTGTCAAGATGCTACTGTCACATAAGTAATTTTATTGCCAAAGGGCAGGGAATGAACTAGTGAAGTGGGAGAGGGGACTGTGTGTTGTGAAAATCAGTGCACCAAGTGTACAGCCCTTCACTTTTTGCTCTTGTAGTGTTTATTTATCTATATGATTTGCAGGGAGGAGAAGGGGATGGTAGTGTAGGAGGTACATCTGTCTCGTCCAGGAGAGAGTGACTGTTCAGATGAGAAGGCATTGTGCATGCAGTGCTTGAAATTAGCCCTTAAAATAGCACACTCCACATCTTAGTAATGCATTGAATATACCTGAATAAGAAACAGTCTGATTGAAGTATTAAGCTTGTTGTAGTGGGTCTGCTGTGACTCATCAGGAAATCGAAAGTCTTGAGATGAAACTCACCCTCTCTTATGTCTTTTTGGAAGAGACAGGAATTAGTCGTAGATGGGAAGTAATTAATTGTTCTATGATTGTCATAAATAGGTACCAAACAACAAGCTCATGCTGAAGTATTTATATCCTAAGCCCTGTCTTGTGAGCCCAGCTATCAAGAGCCTCCATCAGACAGTGAAAAATAAAGTTCTCTGGAATGAGCAGCACTTCCACCTACATGCATTTAAGTGAGACAGGATGGAGGTGAGCTGGTAGGCTGCATGCTGTAATAAGCCATTTACTAGGATATAATGGCTGCAGGGTACAAATGATGTTTCTACTTATTCATGCAAATATTAAAAAAGAAAAAAGCCCCCCCCCCCCGTAAAGTCTATAATACTCTTAATCCCCAGTTTGCTTCATGAATATTAGCTTGGCCAATGTTGCAACACCCCATGGAGGTAGACAACATGTATGCACAGCCTTCTTCATCTGCCTGAGAAACTGAGGCAATGGAAAGGCTTTTAATTTATGTTTCTGGCTCTATACTAGGGCAAATTCCTGGGCAACAGCCTGGTTTCACAGTGGGCAGGATGGAGAAGTCCTTTCGTTCTTGGCAGGAGCATGGGAATTCTGACTTTCAGGGACTAATTCCATGAATTTAGGGTTTCCTTTGGAGAGATTTGCTGATTTGCTTCTGTTGCAAGTAGAACTGTCCTGTGTATTGGAGTCACAGAAGGTGCATTGGCATAGCTGGCAGAGGTAGATAATGAGGGGATGAATATGCACAGAAATATCTCTCTAATTTAGACAGTAGCTATAGCTATTACGTATCTGTCTGACTGTGGGATAATGCTGGAAATGCAGATGCTGGGAAAAGAAGCAAGACAATCAAGATGAGCAAATACCTGTTTAAAAAAAAGCAACAATCCCCAAGGAAAAGGAGCTTGATGGCTTTGTGTTTGTCTGCAGTGAAGTCATGGCAACAGAACATTCATTTAGCAAAATTAACTGTTTCTCTATCTTACCAAAAAAAAAATCAAATAATAATGATGCAAGGGAGCATCCTTTTATCTCAACCAAATGAGTCCGTTTGTGCCAAAGCAATGGAGTCATCCTGGGGAGTTTGCTCCAGAGAGCACGTGCTTTATTAGAACAAAATGTAATAGTTGTCCCACAGCCATAACTGTAAGAGCCTGGTGCCCTAGGCGAGCACTTTCAGTAACAGGAAAACCAAAGTTAGGTTCCTGTACCGATATGATGTTGAAATACACACTTTGGAGCCTGATTTTAAGCTTTCACTTGTTTGGGATTTCAGCTCAGTTAAGTTCTGGATGCAGCTTTCAGAAGGGCTGTAATCTTTTTAAAGTTCCTCATGGGTAATGCTTAGTTTCAAAATTAATTAGGTATCTAGGGACAAAATGTTGATGATGCTTCACTTTGGGTGTACCCAAATACTTGTAAAAAAAACAGTTGCCTTTAAGTCCCTTTGACTTTGAGACATAGGCTTCTTTGTGCCCAAGACTCCGTTTTAGCTCCTGACCATAGCAGTATCTGAAATAATTGTCACACAAATACCAAAAATAACACTTGTATGCTACTTCTGTTTTGGTGTTTGCTCCCCATCTCCATGCACAGACCGCTCTGTGAAGCAGTATGCAAGGTGGACCACACAGTGACTGTGTTGGTAGGCATGAAAGCTCTTTTTACATCACCAAGAATCTCATATTTGGAATTCAGAAATTGTTCATCTTGGTGATAAGCAGGGGCAAGCTCCAGGGAAAATATCATGAACTCAAACGTGTTGCTTGAGGTGCCTGGAAGGTGGTGTTTCTCTTAAGTAGTGTTTTCCAACGAGATTGAATTTTACTTTGTGGCTCTCCTGGAGATGGTTTTAGGCAATGCCTTATGGTTTCCATGAAAGCATATGACAGCAGAAAGAGAAAGCTTTTATCTTTATGAAGGAGTGAAACAGCTCCAGGGAGATTTCTAAGGGTGATTTGACTTTGATTTGGTTTCTGTCAGAAACATTGGGAAGCTTCAGACTAATTGGAAACTTGACCATTTATTGACATCAGTGCTCACCAGATGAACATGAGTTGTCTTCCACTGCTTTTTCATACCTGGAGGAAACTTGTGGCTTTCTCCTGCAACTTAAATTTTGGTTTAATGAAAGAGAAGTGAGAACTGAGCATAGGTGGATGAGTTCTGGTCAATGAAGGAGAGCCACAATTGTTTTATACAGAGATAGGTATCTCAGATACTGCTGTGGACGTCTTCTATGTAAAAAGCCAATGTTTCGGCTTTTTTTTGGAAAGCGTCTCTTTCGGGAGGGACCTCATATGAATAGCAGAGCTCTTCATGTCATTTGTCAGACAAGGTGCAGAGGCTGGCTGGGGGTGCATGGTGTTTCCCATTTCAGCCTTAGGCTGGTATATTTGCAGAAGTGGCTGGCTGTTTCTTTCCACTTGTTTCTGTTCTCCGAGGCTGGATATAGCCCTTGCTGTAGCTCTTAACAATATGAGAGCAGAAGGGCCAGGCCATAGCATCCTCCTGCTGAAGCAATGCCCATGGGCTGCCTAGAGGGAGGAGAGCCAGTGAGCTAGAGTGGGAGTGCAAATCCAAGATGGTTACACATTAGATTCCGTCAGAGGCTTTTAAGGAATAACAACTCACATCTCAGGCTATTTTGGGTGAGGGGTGAGATCCCCAAACAGGAATACTTGCAAGTTAGGAAGCTCCAGCCCCATGGGTTGTCCCAGCACACATAGGGCGAATGAGCACTGTGGAAAAGCCTGAGCGGCTGCTGCCAAATGACTGGGATGGTGCAGCCCACGATGTCTGTTGTGTCTGAGATCTCTGTAAAGTCTCTCGCGTCCTTCCTCAAGTTTAGTTTTCCCGTGGAGGCTGTCGCAGTAATGAGAATGTCTCCCATCTGCTCATCACATGGCTTGGCACATTTAGCTAGAATATATATATATATTTTTATTATGGGGTTAGCCAGTGGTAACCATGACGATTAGACTTACCACACGGCATTTTTTTCCCTCCTCGAGTCGGTTTGAAATGCTGACAATTAAATAGATACAGTACACTTTAGAGATCTATCAGTCTCTTTGTTGTCTTGACAACCAGAGTATATTTAGAAATGTAACAAGTACATGAAGTTCAATTGCACTTTTGCTAAAACATAGTTTTGTAGCTTGAGAATTTAATCTGTTTTTTTTTGTAGATCCAGGTGCTTATTTGAGCTGTGCCTGACTTTTGCTTTGGTCTCTTTGGGAAGCTCCTACATAGCAGTGGGAAGACTCAGCTGGTGGAAAGAAGGCCCTTGTCAGGTAGGGAGCAAACCTGCCCCTGTTTATTGGAGATACTTTGCATGGCAGGGGCTTGGGTGAAGGCCTGGTAGCCCCTGCATACCTGGGCACCAAGAGTCCTGTACCTCCGGGTACTTATGGTGCCCTATGCACCTGGGTGCTTGTGGTTTGGCTGCTGATTTGCAGTGTGAGAGGAATGTGTGTGATCATTGTCTCACATCTGCTGTTCCTGCAGATCCAGCTCTGGTGCTGGGGAGCAGTAAGCAGTGTGTCTGAGCATCCTCTCCTAGATGAGCTGCTCTCGCAGTTCCGTAGCGCTTTGGTGTGGGAAGACAGTACCATGGAGCATGACACTGGTAGACTGTGACATCTTTCTTCCTGCACCTGAGTTACCTTTGGTTGCAACCAGCAATATCTCTCTTCCACTGAAGCAGTAACAGAGACTTCTTCTCTGTATCCCTTCCCCTGTTTTGCCTTTGATTTCCTGGGGACATTTTTGTTTGATTTTAACAAAAATACTACTACTACTAACAAAAAACTACTACCACCACTACTACTGTTTCTTTTGTCCCTTCCCATTTGACTGGAAGAATTGAGCTCATCCTCTCCTCATTGAGCTGGGATAGCAACATGTGGTCTAGTTTGGATTTTTAGGGTTGCATCCAGGGCTGGAAGAGCAGAAGTGAATTAAAATAGAGTGCATCTTCTGGGAGCTGTAAATGTCCCTGTCCCCCATCACCCACACTGGTTGGTATGTGTTGTGTGGCTGTGCTGCTCTCTGCCCTTTTCCTTTTGAGCCAGCAGAGAGCTGTGGTCAGTGTAGGCACCTTTGTGGTATCCCAGCCATACCTCTAAGTGTAGTTATGTGCCAGCCCTGAGGAACAGCTGGGATGTATTGCTCCCATCTACTGCAATCCTACAGCCTGAAGGCTAAGAGATACAGGCTGGCACCACAGTGCCTTCATTATGCTCCTAGCAGAGGATCTGTCAGTGCTAGCCCCTTGCTTAATGCGATGGCTTGCGAAGTTGCTTCTGAAGCAAGAGACACCCAAGCACAAGGATCTTGGAGTATTTCCCTGGCTTGAGTGACCAATGAATGAAATGGAAATCAGGCGAGGAAACAGAACAGTTCACTACCATTCCTCCATCTGCCTGACCAAGGTTGTGATGCTGGTTGGGGCAGCCCCTTTGGAAGGCTCACAGGTTGAGGAGCTGCTAAAAAAGCCTTCTTTGTGGAGGGGTGTTAGTGGCCCTTCCTAATCAGCACCTGAACCCCGTGGCAGGCCCTGGGATGCTTGTGGATTTTCTGCAAAATGTCAAGCAACTCTTCCACCATTCCTTGTCCAAGGTTTGACTTACAATTGATGCTTGGCAGTATGATTTGGGCAGGACAGCTGTGAAAAAAACAAATAAACCAAGATTCTCTTTTATCAACAAAGCTGTGGCAACACAACAATCTGAACAGGAGCTTGGTTATAGCAAAAGGCCTCCCCATCTGCTATTTGCCTAAGGGAACCACTTCATTTGGTGAGATAGTTTAAAGATGACAGCCATGATTCTGTGGTATGGATGTTGTGATGGTCAGTAGCATCCATCCCTGGGTAGCAAGCTGTAAAACTAGTCAATAGCATTGCTCTGCTGCTGGGGAGCATAGTCAGCACAAACTTGTCTCTGGGATGCTCTATTACAGGAGAGTGAGGAAGGCTCAAGGGAGAGGAGCCCTACCTGACATCAGCTGTTTTGGCAAGTGATGTCTGATGAAGTGTATTTCCTGAAGTCATCTTGTCTATCTGCTGTACCTGAAATATAATTTAGTAAGGCTCAAAAAGAGGGGAGGATTGTTTTTTTCTAGCATGATTTTGCTTCCCTTATCTCTGTATTTCTTTTTAATTCATTATCTGTCAAATAATGTGGGTGATTTTTCAGTGTGTGTGCAAAGCTCAGTTTCATTTTTCTGTTTTCTTTGCTCCTTCTATTTTACCAATTTCAAAATGAAAATCGAAAACCATAGTTATATCTCTACTTGAGCTTTGTTTGTAAATTGTTAACATGTCTTTTTCAAGTGTTTAATAGCTACTGGGATTTATTCTTAAAATACAACCACCAAAACCCAATGATGCTAATGAGTCTTCAAGAGTACTTTAAACAAGTTATCCCAATCAATCTGACAAAGATAATGGTCTTGTATTAGAAGATATTTAGCTGGAGGTTGGATGAGCTGTAATGTTTATGGGTCTGTAGATCTGTAACCAGACAAAATCAGAATAATGCTTTTGATTTCAGTGGAGCTGTATCTGTTTATTATAACTGAGTCTTAGGCAGCACTTTAGATGCAAATTGCAACCTCTCTGAAGTTAAGTGGGGTTTTGACTTAATTTCTGGAAGCAGTAATGTTAGCAAAATAGTGAAGACCAGGGACCCACATACCCTGAAGTCTGTAACTTTGAGTTGCTCTCTTTCACTTGCTGTCAAAATCAGATTCCCTCGATTTGGGCTAGTAATTAAAATGCAGCTTCTCTTAAGCATCTCCCAAAGGCAGGCAGAGAGGATGGAAGTGCAGCCTATGCAGATTTTATATATATATATACACACACACATATTTTGCAGAAGATGCCAGTAGCTACATTGTCCTCTCTGACTGCTTGTGGCTGGGCTGTTGGCCTGAAGATTGTGCTTTCCAGAATTATCAGGCTGTGATGCAGAGAGAGCTGGAATCTCCTTTCCCCCAGTGTACTTGTGTTCACACAGCAACTGGGAGACATGGGCCACCGCTCATCACCCCCACTGTGTGTGGCATAAGTGATTCACCATGCATTCATTCCTGGTCACATAAGGGGCATTAGTTTAAAGCAGGCTTGAGGTTAGTGTTAGCTATTTGAAGTCTTAAGTCTGAAAGCAACATCAAACAGGGAGCAGAAAATGTATCATGCACAAAAAAATCTCTGGGATTTATTTCCCCTTTAAAAATTAACAATAATAATAAATTCCAAACTGTTAGCATATGCTGTCTCCTCTGGTCAGGACACCTGTCTGCCTTTTTGCTGTTACTTGATATCGGCTTCCAGTGCTTGCAAAAATGTTAACGTGACTTTTTTGTCACGGCAAATATGAAAGGAATACCCAGTGTGTGTGGGCAGGTCCTCAACAAATTTCTCTGTGCTTCTTGGGCTTTGGTGTGGATCTGAAGCAACTGCTGCAGTTCTCTGTGCTCCCCTTCCTCCGCTGTGGACCGGGAGAGTGAAGATGCTGCCCTGCCAGACCCGGTTCTCCTGAGCAAAGACTGTTGATGGTTGGGCTAGTCGGTTTCAGCCTGGTTTCCTTAAAAACTAATGTATGTGACTGGCTAGATATGTTTCTCCTCCTCTTCAGTGATGTTTAACTCCTTGGCTAATCTGAGCCATGCTTGTTAAGAGATAATTAGACTTTAGGAAAATACGGTTGCAGGTGCAGTTAGGAGGAGCTTGTGGGCCTGGGATAGCCAGAAACATGGTGGGCTGGAAGAACTGGAGCAGGTGGGGCTGAACTGGACTTCCCACTAATTATTGATAGTATTTTTTAAGCTTGTTTATTTCTTCTTCAGGACTGAGATGAAGGGAAACAGATAACACCAGGGTAGGCTAGATATCAATAAGCTGGAAGTAAGAAAGGCTGCTGGTTGAAAGCAGCATGTGGTAACAGAAAAACGTGTTTTTGTTTTTAGCTGGGCATCCTTGGAGGCACCCAAAAGGAAGCAAGGGCTGAAGCTGTCTTACCCTACTGCTTTTTCCACAGTTGCTGCATGTTTAATGCATCCCTTCTCAGCTTCAGTTTTTCTTGGTGCTCGTGTGGCAAAGCCAGCACTGTGGGCATGACTCACCATTGGCCTGAGCAGTGGAGGAGGCCTCTTCTTAGAGGCCCTTTAAGCATGAGAAGCAGAAGGGTGTTTGGTCAGTCTTTGAAAGAGACTTTGTTACCTGCAGCCCTTAGGTCAGAACCTTTCACAAGCTCTACAGTGATTTGAAACAAGTAGCTTCCCTCCCAAATAAACTTCAGTTTCTCTGGTTGTTCTGATATAAACTGCAAATGAGTGAAAAACACTTACATGGGTCAAAAAAGGGACAGACTGACACATGGGTTGTATCAGAGGGGGAAAAAAGCTATGCTCTGCTCCATACAGGAGGGTAACTGGCATTAAGGGCCATTTTGGGGCTCTTTTCTTGGTGAGGTGTTACAGCCAGCTTGATTCACTTTCTGCTTTTACAATGAACAAAACATTGATTCTGATCTTTCTGTTTGCACCCACAGAGGTCCCTTGGAAAAGCTTGTCGTACATCTGCCTGAGTGCCTGACAGGGCCACCTTGCTTCCAGGTGCGGAATGGATCAGGTCATGGGGCTTTTGCCAACTGCTGAATGTAAAGGGAGTGGAAAGATCCTGAGACCATGTTCGGTCATTCAGCAAGTGATAGTCATTTCACCAAAGCTCAGGGTGGTGGGAGGCCAGCCTAAACAGGAGGCTTGAGGTGATTTTACTATTTCTGGGTCCAGGTCTGGAAGCAGCAAACATGCAGGCCCTCTTGGGAATGGGCGTGTTGCATGGGAATGATTGCATGGTCCTGTGAACTGTATTATTTTGACTACTTTTTGAATGAGACTTTCCTACTTGTGGACCTGAATTCACATTGCATCCATGGATGCTCTGCATCCTGGGTATGCTCCCAGCTGGTGATGGAGAGTTGGCTGTATTACAAGCTTTAATCTAACCATGCTTCAGTGGACAAAAGCAAGAAAGGATATAAGCCTATTAAGAATAACCTGAATAGCAAATTATGTGAGGAGCAAATTAATTCATTCTTTAGAATTGCCAGTTCCATCAAATTCACTTGGAGATATTTAACTGTGACTGTAAGGATCATCCTGATAAACTACCCCAAACTCTTGTAGGAGTCCCTTGCCAGATTATGTTTATGACATGCATTGTGCTTTGTGCCTATCCCATGATAGGATGATTCAGTTGCAGAAAGCGTAAGGCTGCAAAAAAGGAGCAGTGTCAGAGCAGTATGTTTGTCCTCAAGCCTCTGTCAGGTATGCCATCCCAGGAGGCAAAAGCGATGCTACAAAGTCAACTGGGGGAAGAAAGCAGTGAGCTTGTTGGGAAGTGTAGAATGAATGAACAGGGATTGCTGGTAGCTGGTTTAGAACAGCTCAATGGCCGTGATGAAGGTCTGTAGGAGATGTGCTTTGGTAGGGTGTGGTGGATCTGGGAAGTCTTTGCTGTGGTGATGGTTCCTTGCACCAAGTGGCAGCACCAGAAGGCCATGTGTGGTACAAGTGCTGGAGGCCACATAAGTTTATAATATATATATTTTTTTTTTTGGGGGGGGGGGGGGGCGTGGGGTGGGTGTGTTTTGCTTTAGTTGTTTGGGATTTGGTTTTTTTTTTTGGTTGTTGGTGTGTTTTGTTGTTTTTTTTTTTTTTAATGTGTAATTTATGGCTAGATGAGGTTTCAGCCCACTGTTCACTGCAAACAGGTGGGAACATTAATAAATGTTGAAGGACAAAGACAGACAAGGGATTAATGAACAGAGGACAGGAGATTAATAGCGAGAGGGGACAATTTGGTTCAAGGCCTGGTCTTCCCAGTTGCTGGGTTATGGAAGATTAATAGCAGCTTTTCTGTTAGTCTCACTCTTTCTGCAGCAGCTTTTCTGGCTAATAAACTGTTTCAGTGGGTTGCTGTAAATATGAAATCTAGGAAGAAGCCCATCCTTACAGACTGTTAACTAGGTGGGACAGTGTTAATTTTGCTTTCTATTCAAAACTTAAGCAATAACATCAATATATTTATGAGTTGTGAAGTCAGACGTTCAGGTGCTTACAACTCTTCTCAGGAGAAAAATGTGTCATAAAATGTTATCTTGTCAAGCAAGCTGTCTCTGACAAATTGTTTCATACTCAGGGTCCTGTGCAAGAGGTTGATTTTTCGTCTCTTGACTGAGTTTTCAGCTTTGTTTCTGTGGAAAACTGGCCTCTAGACCTGTTACATCTGGCCTCTCATTACACTTGTGTGAGATTAGATCACTGTAACAGAACACTAACTTTACAAAATTTAAATTCCACATTAAATTTGTGGAAGAACAGTGGAACAGAGAAAATCTATATTCTGGTAGTAGGGCACATGCTGTTCTGGTAGTAGGGTGCATGCTGTTCTGACATAGACAGTCAGCCTCAAACACCTACCTTAAGGCTGTACCTTCCAAGTCAAGCACTGCAGTAGTCCTTGGCATATGCCCTCAGTGTATTTTTGGTAGTCTTCACAAAGATGACCCCAAGCCCTTCATGCATAGGGTTATAGCAATATGCAGGTACATGTATGACCATTTTGGGAAGGAAGCAACTGTGTGCCCATAACAGTGAGCATGATGAAGACAGGGCTGATACCAGAACTTCATGTAGCAGTAGCTGTATATCTTTTCCAGAGAAGAAAGGCTACACACAGTTTCAAGTGTCCTGTAACAAAGCTCTGCCCCTCTCAACTGTTCTTGCATGCAGTGCCCTTGGCTTTTCAAAAGTTAATTGATTCGGCTATATTATGATTCCCTCTTTAATTTTATTTGTGTAAAGAAGAACATGGACAAATCTTTCTCCAGAGAAATATTTTACACTTCTCCTCTTTGAACACTGGCCTCAGGTCTGTCGCATTTCTTAATGAGTCTCTAACTGAACAGCTATGGTTCCTACATGCTCCAGCCTTGACACATGCATACTTGTACACCCACGTGCCTCCTCCATTGAACTGAGCAGCCTGCCTGCTCCCCTCGCATGCTCACTGCTTCAGGATTTGCATTAGCAAGGTAGTATCTTCCTGGGAAGCCCTATACACGAGTGGGGGCTTTATAACTGCAAGCATAGATAGATATGGCATCAGATGAGCTGTCTTGTGAATCGGAAATGCTGTAACCTCTTTATTACACTGTCCGCCCCACCACAGGCTTGTTTAACGTGCTTCTCCAGGAGCCCGAATTCCTGTGGGCTGCCCTACCCATGGTGAGGACCCGAGCTAGTGCCGAGCACAGAGTTGAACACCCAACACTGAATTACTGTCTGGTATGCCAGTGGCTGCCAGCTCTTTGATAGCCTGTTTTTAATGAAGATTCCTCCTGTAATTCCTAGAATATCTTTCAGTGCAAAAAATGAGCTCTGTGTGTATTTTGCTGTGGGCTGAATTTTTTTCCTGCTCTTCACAGCTCCCTCCATGAACAGAGAGGAAAGGGAGGGGGAAGCAGCTGACTGCTTTTTTTGTTGTTGTTCTTCTACTTGACTTCTGTGAAATATGTGGCAATCAATTGCTCACAACTAACAAAATGTTTTTGTTTCTCTTTGCAAAAGCATATGGGAACTGCAGGAAAAGCATATGGGTGTTTTTAGGAAAACATATTGGTGAATGGACAGATTATAGTGGTGCCAATATGTTTTGGGTGTCTGGCTAGACCACTACTACTGCCACACTTGCTGGCATGCAGACACATCCACAAGATTTCCAGCATGTGAGTGGTGTGTAGCTGCTTCTGGGGAACTGCTGGCTGTGCTGGATCAGACCCCTGTTAAAACAGTGTTGTGATCCATCTTTGGTGTGTGTGACTGCTTCACCATATCCCGGACTAGGCTCCAGGCTTGTGTTTATGGCAGCATATCCATTCTTTCAGTAGACTGAGCCCAGAGCTTCACGTGCAGCTGACTGCAAATAATGATAATGGTAACCATTTTTCTTTCTAAAGCCCTGGACTGAAGTCCTAATAACACCTGAGCATCTTGAAAACAGGCTAGGCAGCCTCTGTTTTACCTCTGCTGCTCCGTCAAGGTTTTTTTTTGTGTCAGCTGGAGCATTTATATTTAATTTCTCTGTTTTGCGGCTGCTTTTGAGAAGATGCAAAACATTTTCATTACTACTTATGGGCACAGTCCTGTTTGCTTTGATACTGGTGATCCAGAGAAAGGGATCCACAAGCTGGTAAGAGCTTGGGAATGGTAAGGGGATTAAGTGGCCTTGGTTGGTGCGTCTGTTCTGGTGGCTGTCAGCATCCCTACAGTTTGAGTTGCGCTGCCGTGGACACCTGTGCAAGAAGAAGTCTTTGACAACTCCATCTAGACATCCCTTACTGGTTGCCCTCGCGGTGAGGGAGTGCTGCCTGCCCTATCTCTGCCTGCAATGGGCACGGCTGTGGCGGGTTGCAGGGGTTTGTAGCAGCTCTCTGCCCATGTTTAGGTTCGGAAGGTCTTAGGGGACTGGCTAAGGTCTCGTTGCACAGACATGCACATTACCTCCTGTCAATAAGAGCTCATGGTCTAAATAGACAAAACAGAGCTGTGCTGAGAAAGATGTTACGGTCTCTGAGTGTCAGGAAAGATAGGCAACAACTGAACTCAGGAATGATTTCATGAGCGGGTTCAATCAGTCAGAGTTTGTACCATTGCTAGAAGAGGTGGTCCCGCTGCCTGTGTGTACCCAACCCTTGTTTTGGCCATAAAGTCAATTTTATCCTTTATAGACATAAGCATGAGTTGTGAGGCAGCAGAGGGGGCAAAACACGTGGCTAAAGACTGAAGAGATAAGCAAGATGTACATTTGGGCAGTCATTTGGACGTCACATTGTTTATCTTGGTTATGAACCTGGACTCTCAGATACTCTTGAGTGGTAATTCAGCACCTTTTAGTGTTCTTCCTCTTATGCCAACTCAGGATGATTTGGTAGTGAGTAATTTTACATTATTTAATGTAGCCACTTTCCTTATAGCTCTTTTGTTCCATGAGACATTTCCCTATTTTATTATGCAAACAGTACATTAAGATCCTTGTGGGCCTAAGTTCCCAGCAGTGCTTGAGATGATGGCAGGGAAGTAGGTTATTTCAGAAATAATGATTCTCTCCTCTAGAAGCTTTCTTGGAGTTCTGCTTTAGCTGCTTTTGATATTATACATGCTTTAAAAAAAAAAATAAAAAAAAACCCAGTACTTCCTAAATGTTATAGAGCTCAAAAAATACACTGTATGCCTTGTCACAATATTTAATACAGAGTGCTATTTACAGTAATGAATCAAAATGTCAGTTTTTAAAATATGAACTGTCAGAGTGTTCCTACTTTGCAGAAAACTTTGATATGACAGTTTTTTAATCATATGACTATTACATCAAATGTGTCTCGGTACTTTCGCTCAACAAAGTCTTTTTTTATTCTTTCCCCCTCCCTTTTCACTGTAGAGTCTGGTAGGGTTGTTTGACTGAATGCACTTTGATTAGAGGTTGGAAGGATGCAGAGCTGAATGCTTTTGTATATTGACAGATGGGATGTATCACTACCTGTGTTTGTGCT